CTTATTTAGGAGGAAGAAAACGAACTTGATTTTCGGCGAGACCCATTTGAATAACACCTTGTGGATTATGATCAAGATGAAAAGGGTTATTGTCGTAAGCTTTCCAACCGTCGAAGTACGGTGAATCTTCACCGTGCTTGTCACCGGCGGCTAATTTGGACAGCAAATTCTTGTCGGGAGACATTTTTCCGATCGAGTAAAGCTTGTGTGTGAATAGAACAATGTGTGTGGTTTTTTGTGAAGGTATTGGATTGGTTTGGCTTGTGAATATAAATGAAATTAAGGGAGCATGTGATGAGGTTTTATAATGGGGTCTTAAGAGAGAAACTACTTATTTCCTCTATGAGAAAACTTATTTGAAATCTTCTTGTTTCTATAAAGTATTATTTTGTGGGGACAATATATGTTCCATAAAGTCAAACCTACAACAAATGTTCTTTTCTTTTTTTTTGGGTATGAATGTTAAGATAAATGTTTTTTTCAACACATGTTTTCTTCTTAAATGCTGTAATATGAGCCAAAAATGAAGAAAATATGTATTATTTATGTGTAATTTTAAATACTAATAGATAATTTGAAAAGTTATAGATAATTTTTTATATATTTGAAAATTTTGTTTTAAGTAATAGCTTTTGAAGCGACAATAACAATATTTCTTGTGCAAGAAATATCATTTGTATAAATTTTAGACATATTAACGACCAACCTTACCCATGGTGCCATGCATATGGTACATTTTCATACTCGTTCTGTTTCGTTTTGCCAAAAGTACAAACATTAAAAAAAAAAAATTTCTTTCAAAAAATAGAATTTAATATATTAATTAAAACAATTCAACTAACTATAAAAACGATTGTAAAAGATTATTGGTCACACAGTTTCATTAAAGCTAAAAAATACCTTAAAATATCAAAACATCTTATATTGTGAAACAAAAAAAAACTCTAAAACATCATATATTATGAAACAGAAGAAGTATTTTAGAAAGAAAAGGTTTATAGAATGTTTTCAAGTAAAACCAAACTTGGTATATGATCACGGTAATTAATAACGAAGACAAAGACTTTTGCGTTTCATTGACTTTTGCTAAAAAAAATAGATCAACCAAGATGGTTTAGATATAAAAGAGAATAAACAAAAAGTCGAGATTGCTTAAAGATTCAACCGTCGTAGTCAGAAATTAACAAGTTCAAGTCTTACGAACCTTGTTATTAGATTCGGGGGGAAATGTTTACTTTGACTTCGTGCGTTACATTTTCTTTAATCGAATTTTGAGGCTCGATATAACATCCGATTATTTTTAAGA